TTTTCTTTGCTGTGTGTGTGTTACACACAATAGTGCTGGAAAGCTCCAGTATGGTGGGGTTCCATTCTGCTCCCACTTAGGAGCCTGTGCCTGTATTACAGGAAAGCTACAGGTATATAGAGTCATAGAATCCCAGACTGGTTTGGACTGGAAGGGACCTTAAGGCTCATCCAGTTCCAACCCCATGCCCTAGGCAGGGACACCTTCCACTAGAGCAGCTTGCTTTGGTGGAAGTTGTAAGTACCAGCTTCATGGTTTGGAGCCATAGGTGCTGAAGGCAGGTCTCACATCTGTGTGCTCAGAACTCTTGAACGCTGCTGTTGGCACCTGTGGTTGCCACCTTCCGTTCATCACCTCCTCTTGTTCCATCTTGAGCTGCCAAGTGGTTTCCTGTGTCTCTTGTCCCTTTGCATGTGATTGTCTGTCACCCCTTCCTGTCTGCAGAACAGTTCTGTAGGTGTGAAAGCAGAGTTTGTCAGGTCAGCTAAGGGCTTCAAAAGATGAGGGGCAGGGAGCATTTGAAGGCCCCTGTAATTTGAGTTATGGCAGTCACGGTTTGCTGTATGTAATAAAACTCATCATAAGTTCTGTGTGCTGAAACAACTGGAACTTCCAATGCTCCCAAGTGGCTGCAGAAACAATAGCCCTACATCATTAGTATAGCATAGCCCTACATCCTACTTCATACATTACATAAGTAGTTGTTGGTACATCATAGTCCTGCATCCTACTTCATACATTACATTAGTATGTTGTTGGTACATCATAGTCCTACATCCTGCTTCATACATTAGTACATCATAGTGCTACATCCTACTTCATACATTACATTAGTACATTGTTGGTGCATCACAGTCCTGCATCCTGCTTCATATATTACATTAGTACATCATTAGTATAGCATAGTCCTGCATCCTGCTTCCTATATTACATTAGTACATCATTAGTATAGCATAGTCCTACATCCTACTTCATACATAACATTAGTACATTGTTAGTATATCATAGTCCTACATCCTATAGGTTGCCCAGAGAAGCTGTGGCTGCCCCATCCCTGGCAGTGTTCAGGGCCAGGTTGGACACAGGGGCTTGGAGCAAGCTGCTCCAGTGGAAGGGGTCCCTGCCCGTGGCAGGGGTTGGAGCTGGGTGAGCTTTAAGCTCCCTTCCAGCCCAAACCAGTCTGGGATTCTATGATGACGGCTGCACTTCCCTAGTGATGCCTGTGGGGTTTGGTTTGAGTGCTGGTACCTTAATAGATATAGTAGTTGAGAGTAATTGTGTCTGCAGCTAAGATGTATTCCCTCATCTGACTCTGGTTGAAAAGTTCATGTGCTGTTTTATTGCTTCCCCTGTTCACTTAATCATACTGAGGAGACCTAAGATGAATTTCCCAAAGCAGGTTTGTGCTGCTGTGAAGAAGGAAGGAGCTCAGTCTGGTGACGCTTTGCATTCCTTTAGGATGGATCAAGCAGAGCCACTCACTTCAGTGGTGCAGCACTGGTGTTCTGCTGGCTGGGGAAGCAATGGCCTTGTGCTCTGAACTTGAGCAGGGTCTGCGCAAGAGGGGTGTTTAAAGCCTCATTCCATGTGAATTGTCAAGAGATTATTTAGGGACAGAAGGAATCTGAGCAGTCATCTGGGCTAGCATGAGAGGGATGAGCACCACTCACTATGGCTTCATGCTCTCAGCCCTGCTATAAAGACATGGAGAGGTGGATCTAATTCTATCAGAACAGGGTTGCACCCACATACACTAAAGCCAACAAAGGGTTAAAGTATAACAGTGTTGAGTTTGGGTTAGTCTGTGTCTGTACATCACAGTGGGAGGACTGATGTAAGCAGGTTTTGTTTTCCCTTTAAATATGTAGTGGGAAAATGCTTATGGGAGCCCTCTAGGATAATGCTGCTATAACATCTGTGGAACCAGTCTGTTAATGCGGGGGGCTGAAGGATTTCTCTCGTCCCCCATCTCCAAACAGACTAAATAGCTCTTGTAATGCCACACATTTAAGTGGTGAGGGGAAAGGTCTGAGCTTGAGCGATGGAGAAGAAGGGAGAGGATGTGCTATAGGCTTTGCCCCTATGAAAGCTGCAGTTTTCAGATAGGTGTAAACCAATGTTGTGTGTTAAACTGTGCAACTTCTCATCAGTTGCTTGCTCATTCAGGGTGGAAGGCAAGATAAACAAGAGCCTGTACTGCCCTGTGGTAAAACAGTAATCCACTTGTGCTCTGCCCTTTCTGACACAGGGATTTGGAACAACCCTCTTATATTGAATAAACCGTGAGCAGATGTCCCTGGGGTTTGGCATGGATGGAATTGGGAGTGAGGATGTTTGACATCCAGAAGGTTCTTCTTATGTTTTCATGCCCTTTTTGTGTGCTCGTGTTCATTTTCCCTCCCCAAGCACTAAGCCTGGAATCTGGGCAGGGCTTTCTTCTTCTTCTCACTTCTTTTCCTCCAGCCTGGAGCCCCATGCTGCTCTGTTCTCTTCCTTGTATCGCCCTTTGGTCTAATGTTGATCCCATTGCCCAGGACAGTATTCTTTACACTGGAGGTAGCAAGCACTGATTCTCACCTCTCTGCTTGGTGGGATCAGGGCCCTGCATTGAGGCTGTATCCCACCATCTGCAGCTCCAGGCAGTCTGGCCAGTGGGGGAATCTCAGTGCATCATTACTGAACCCCTATGTGAGGGTAAACCAGGGCGTTACAGCAGCAAATGTGGTGCCTGCTCCTTAGGGAAGGCTGTTTGGCAGGCTCAGAGCCACTAACACTCATTTTCCTTCTGTTTCCCTATTTGCAGTGTATTCCCAGCACCCTCCCAGCAATTTGCTTTCTCATGGTTAAATAATCATTAATGCAAAGACTGCAGCTTTTATATGGCACGACTGCTTATGTTGTGCTTTGATGCTTTAGCTGTGCCAGTTCAGTACCAACCGCTGACACGGGGATGCGCAAAGCCCATCAGTGAGGCCTCAATATCTTCATGTTGCACAAGGTATTTACCACGTGGGGTTTAGTTTAGACTGTGTTCCACTGCTTGGACAGAGAGAGGAGTTGTTTGCACCACTTCATGGCTGGCACTTCAGCTGTCACTTGGTTCTGCTCTGTTGTACACTGGAGAATGGCATGAGGATGGGAGATGCCCAGGGCACGTGCCAGAACACACCCAGACAAATGCACATCTAATTCCCCCACTCCTCCCAAACGCCAGATCTGTCCCACCATTGAAATCCCTGCTCCAAATGCTAGTGGTAGAGAATTCCATTGCACAGTTGTGTTGGGAAGAAGCGGGGCTGGGGTCTAAGCTCTTGGAAAGCTCCTTCTGTGTGAAAGCTTATCTAGAGCATTAAGGGCTGTGCAGTGCTGCCAGCCCTCCTATATCAGAACAAGTGTGAAGAAACCAGGAACCAAGTGTAGACATGCTTGGCAGGTAACAGCTTGGGCATCACTGCTTTAAGTGAGGTCTAACACAGAGTCCTGCATCAACACAAGAGGGATGTGGAGCTGTTGGAGTGAGTCCAGAAGAGGCCATGGAGATGCTGCGAGGTCCAGCTTTAAGGTCCCATCCAGTCCAATCCAAACCATTCCATGATTCTGTATTGCTGCAGAGTGCCTTCTGTGGGCAGCATTTGCTTTTCCCTGCTCCCCAGAGCTGCCAGAGCAGCGTGTGCCCTGGGGCTTAATCATTTCAGTGATGCTCAGCATCACTAGCTGTGCCAGAGAAGACTCTGAAAGCTGGCTGGGTGGTGTGTGCTCACAGGGCCATGGGATGGTTGTGGGATCGATCTGCACTGTGACCCAGTGCTGATCCTCTGAGCCCATCCCATGGAAGAGCAGCTCCATGGAAGCCAGCAGTGATCTCAGCTCTGTAACTGCGCTTGCAGAGAGCAAAACCTCTTTTGACCTTCTGCTACCCAATAATTCTCCCTGAGCAAAGCATCTTCCCGTGGTGCTTGTGAAGTTCATGAAGCAGCTGAACTGCTTTTCCCACCCAAGCAGACACTGGTCCTGCTTTGCTCTTTGTTGTGCACTTAACTCCCAACTTTCGTTTGAGAGCATAACACAGACCAGTTCCAGCTTCCAGAGGGACCTGGCTGTAGCCAGGCTGTGTCTGCAGCAGCGCTGATCTCATTTGGGTGGAACAAGCTGGTTGTTGCAGAATAAACCCGTTACCCTGGTCCAGAGCTTCTGTCTCTAAATCCGCACAGCGGGGATTATTTGCTTAAGGATTTATGTGTGTGTTGGGGATCTAGTTTTGTTTGACCCTTCCAAACAAGAATGAAATGCAGTCAACTTGCTGGTGGTTTGAATCGTGCCTGGAGCGTGCTGCTACCATGGGAAGGCTGGGAATGGCTTGGGACCAGCCAGGGCTGTGCCATGGAGGTTATGTGGGTAGAGCTTTGGGACCAGCAGCTCAGGGAGGGGATCCTGCCCCTCTGCTGTGCTATGGGGAGACCCCCCCTGCAGCCCTGATCCAGCTCTGGGGCAGCAGCACAAGAGGGACGTGGAGCTGTTGGAGCGAGGCCAGAGGAGGCCATGGAGCTGCTGCGAGGGCTGGAGCAGCTCTGCTCTGGAGCCAGGCTGAGAGAGCTGGGCTGGGGCAGCCTGGAGAAGAGAAGGCTCCTGAAGGGGAGACCTTAGAGCAGCTCCAGTGCTTAAAGGGGCTGCAGGAAAGCTGGAGAGGGGCTTGGGACAAGGGCCTGTAGGGACAGGCCAAGGGGAATGGCTTGAACCTGCCCGAGGGGAGACTGAGCTGAGCTCTTAGGCAGAAGCTCTTCCCTGTGAGGGTGCCGAGGCGCTGGCACAGGGTGCCCAGAGAAGCTGTGGCTGCCCCATCCCTGGCAGTGATGATGGTGAATTCAAGCCACCATGTGTGTGTTAATATGAGGTTACAGTTGGTCCGCAAATACCTATTGTGGTTCATTTGACAGTGTGTGATTCTAGTTTACAAAGCCATAAATCACGCTTGTTGTTTCTTCTCTTTTTCCTGTTCCTAGTAACGGCCTCCCCAACTGAAGATGTCGAACAATGGGGTTGAAACAGAAGACAAACCACCTGCTCCTCCAATGAGAAATACCAGCACTATGATTGGAGCGGGAAGCAAAGATCCTGGGACTTTAAACCATGGCTCCAAACCTTTGCCTCCCAACCCGGAGGAGAAGAAAAGGAAGGACCGATTTTACCGCTCTATTTTACCAGGAGATAAAAGTACAGTATTTTATCTCTTCTTCTAAACCTTGTGCTTGAATGTTGCTCTGAATGACCTTAGTTGAGCACTTGATGCTCAGTGATGGTTTAGGTGTTAGAAAATGTGTGCATTGGTTTCCTGCAGAACAGTCTTGGTCATTTTGGGGTTCATAAGGTGCTGTCTGTAGATCTGTTTTTAACAATCATAGGATCACAGAATGGCTTGGGTTGGAAAGGATCTTAAGATCATCCAGTTCCAACCCCTGCCACAGGCAGGGACACCTTCCACTAGAGCAGCTTGCTCCAAGCCTCTGTTTCCAGTTTGGCCTTGAACAGTGCCAGAGATGGGGCAGCCACAGCTTCTCTGGGCACCCACACAGTAAAGAACTTCTTCTTTATATCCAATCTAAACTTCCCCTGTTTCAGTTTTAAGGGGGCCTGTAGGGGTGCTGGGGAGGGACTCTTCATTAGGGACTGCAGTGATAGGACAAGGGGTAATGGGTTAAAACTGAAAGAGGGGAAGTTTAGATTGGATATAAGGAAGAAGTTCTTTACTGTGAGGGTGCTGAGGCACTGGAATGGGTTGCTCGGGGAGGTTGTGAATGCTCCATCCCTGGCAGTGTTCAAGGCCAGGTTGGACGAGGCCTTGGGTGCCATGGTTTAGTGTGAGGTGTCCCTGCCCATGGCAGGGGTTGGAACTTGATGATCTTAAGGTCCTTTCCAACCCTAACTATCCTGATTCTATGATTCTAAGCCATTAGCCCTTGTCCTATCACTCCAGTCCCTAATGAAGAGTCCCTCCACAGCATCCCTGTAGCCCCCTTCAGACACTGGAAGCTGCTCTGAGGTCTCCACGCAGCTTCTCTTCTCCAGGCTGATCATCATTCTTAGCCTGTTCAGTAATGATTAACCCTGCCACATTTAATCCATCGCACTTACTCTCTTTTGGGCTTCTCTTTTCATTTCTTGGTTTTCCCTCTTCTCCTTAAACTATGAGAACAGTGTCCTTGAAAACTGGGACGAGCTCTGCCACTTCCCAGCCTGACTTGTGCAGAATGGTCTTTAAAATCACCTCTTTTGTACCAATTACAAGCAGGTCAATTAAATCTGGTATTGGCAAACCCTTTGATGGGGAGCAGTGGGAGGTCTCTTGCTTGTTTTGCTGTTTTGAACAGCAAATAACATGAGTTCAGCATGACCAACAAGCCATCTCCTGCTAAGCCTGTCATATGTCACTCCATGGTCATTTACTGGTGAGTGTTTGGGTCAAGCATTGCCTGCTTGCTGTTAAGAATAACCCATTTCTGCAGATTCTTACACATTTCTTGTGAACTAAAGGAATTTTCTGGTGTTAGAGGGACTGTAACAGATGGGAATGGAGAGAGGAGCTGTGAACTGTACGTGAAACTCTTATTTTTAAGATCAGGGTGTTTAAAAAACCCCTCACATGAATCTTTCGAAGGGATGTAAAGAAAATAAAATAAAACTCCATCCCCTAATTCCTGATGGTTCCTTTTTATATCTGACCTATTTTTTGGAGTTTCTGATACATCAGCTTTCTGTAGAGTCTGCAGTGCAATAGTATCTGGACAGAGGGTACGTGAAGGCAAGCCTACGTGTCTTTCTCTTCCTGGGCTTCAGGAGGGAGGTTCCTTCCTTTGGTTTTAGGAGTGAAAAGACAAAATTGGCGTCACTACTTTAAATAAGCAAGATGTAGGTTCATTTTCTACAGAATATCACAGCAGTCACAGAATCCCAGAATGGTTTGGGTTGGAAGGGACCTTAAAGCTCATCCAGCTCCAACCCCTGCCACGGACAGGGGCACCTTCCACTGGAGCAGCTTGCTCCAAGCCCCTGTGTCCAACCTGGCCTTGAACACTGCCAGGGATGGGGCAGCCACAGCTTCTCTGGGCACCCTGTGCCAGCGCCTCAGCACCCTCACAGGGAAGAGCTTCTGCCTTATCTTCAACTTAGACCCAACTTTCTCAGCCTGTACCTTTGGCAGCTTTGGGTGCTTTGAATCCGCAGTCCGGAAACCCATGAGCTCAATGTTGAAAGTTTGCCAGATCTTGGGTAGAACTGGCCCTTAGGAAAATTAATCCTAAAAAGCTGCAGGATTTTTGTGTTGGCCTCTCTGAAGAACTGAGGGGCTTAAATTTCTAAGCTCAGCAGTTCCAGACAGCTAAAGGGGCTGGAGCAGCTCCTGTATGGAGACAGGCTGAGAACACTGGGGCTGTTCAGCCTGGAGAAGAGAAGCTGCGTGGAGACCTCAGAGCAGCTTCCAGTGTCTGAAGGGGGCCTATAGGGATGCTGGGGAGGTACTCTTTATTAGGGATTGGAGTGATAGGGCAAGGGGTAATGGGTTAAAACTGAAACGGGGGAAGTTTAGATTGGATATAAGGAGGAAATTCTTTACTGTGAGGGTGGTGAGGCACTGGAATGGGTTGCCCAGGGAGGTTGTGAATGCTTCATCCCTGGCAGTGTTCAAGGCCAGGTTGGACAGAGCCTTGGGTGCCATGGTTTAGTGTGAGGTGTCCCTGCCCATGGTACAGGGGTTGGAACTGGATGATCTTAAGGTGCTTTCCAACACAAACCATTCTGTGATTACCTGAAATTTATTAAAGAGTAGAACAAGTAGAACCCAAAGCACTTGTTTGAACTGGACTGGAGAAGAGAGCTGCAGAAGTGAGCGGTTTGGGTAAAATCGGCACAGACTGCCACTGAAGATGCCTGCGTTTGCTGAAGATTGGCCAACGTGGCAGATGCTTTGAGATATGAGAGAGTTTTGTTTAGCCAAGCTCAGCAGAGCCTTCTGTTGCAATACGCCTGCCCCAATGAGAGTGATTGCTTCTGTCCTCTAATTCCTGTCGAGCAAAAAATACCCTGAATGCTGTCACCTGTGCTTCAGATGGGTTGGTTTTCATCTTATGAAAGCTTCTTCCAATCTCATGATGACAGCTGAATTCCCAATGCCTTCTGCTGCTTAAACATTAATGAAATTCCCAGGTTTTCAGACACCTCTTTGGTTTATGCCTGAAACAATGTGGGTGCTATGTGTTAGTGTGGCTGGACTCAAAGGAGAGTTGGTTTCCGTTCAGTTAGAGGCACGTAACTGGGGCAAATCCATTACCTCTGCATCTTTTCCCCAGGGAAGCAGTGATTTGGGTTTAACCTCTGCTGGGGTTGCAAAGAGCCTGTGAAGAACTGAAATGCTCTGTGGTTTATTCTGCTAGTGGAGATGGATGTTGGCTTTTACACTGTAGCCTAAGAGCTGCTGGAGTTGATGCTGTCAATGCCTTCGGAGAAGTGGTAGCTCTTTGGGTAGGAAACAGGACTGGAGCAGGCACTTAATGAAGGACGGGTGGGAAAGAAGGTGAAGGGGTTGTGCTTTACGTAGAGGTGCAGCTCAAATGCATGGGGTCCTGCTGCGGAACCAGGCAGCAGACCTGCTGTGGGCCCAGGTCAGAGGGGAGGCCAACAAGGGGAGACATCCTGAGGGCATCTTCTACAGGTCTCTGGGTCAAGAAGGCACTTCTAGTTGAAGGCTCTTTGGAAAGTGTCTTTTCTATTGTGCTGCCCCTGTGCATGGTCAGAGCCCTGGTTAAAGGGCACATAGGAGCTTAAATCCTGGGCCTCAGGCATGTTTGCACACTTCCATTTAGCTATGGAAGAGCTTCTGCCTAAGAGCTCATCTCAGTCTCCCCTCTGGCAGGTTAAAGCCATTCCCCTTGGCCTGTCCCTATAGGCCCTTGTAAAAAGTCCCTCTCCAAACACAAGAATCTCTTCCTGCTTCTATCCTGCAGTGCATGTGTTGAACATAAACAGAGAGCTGGTCTGACAAAGGCTATTATGTTATTTAATCAGGCCCTCCAGAACTGTTTTTATTGCTTTGTGCAGCTGAGGCTCGCTCAGGCCATCATCTCCTGCTCGGGATAAATGAGCAGTCAGCAGTGATTTCAGTTTCCTGGTTCAACAGCTACTGGAGCAGTTGGTTGCAGAGACATTTATTGGCATTTGGGTGTGTGGCAGGAGCTCAAGTGTATTGATTGCTGGGTGGCACCTTAATGCCCTTATGCTCTTTTAGGGATACATTCAAATCTACTGTGGCACTTATTCTGGACCACATGTGGTTGCACATCATCCATGCCGCACTGCATAGCAGTGCTAGTACAGGTTCCCTCTTCTTCCTCACCTGAATGATGGGCTTCCAGGCTGAGCTGACACCTTCATAGAATCATAGAGTCACAGAATGGTTTGGGTTGGAAAGGACCTTAAGATCATCCAGTTCCAACCCTGTGCCATGGGCAGGGACACCTCGCTCTAAACCATGGCACCCAAGGCCTCGTCCAACCTGGCCTTGAACACTGCCAGGGATGGAGCATTCACAACCTCCCTGGACAACCCATTTCAGTGCCTCAGCACCCTAACAGTAAAGAACTTCTTCCTTAGATCCAATCTAAACTTCCCCTGTTTCAGTTTTAACCCATTACCCCTTGTCCTATCACTTCAGTCCCTAATGAAGAGTCCATCCCCAGCATCCCTACAGGCCCCCTTAAAACTGAAACATGGGAAGTTTAGATTGGATATAAAGAAGAAGTTCTTTACTGTGGGGGTGCCCAGAGAAGCTGTGGCTCCCCCATCCCTGGCAGTGTTCAAGGCCAGACTGGACTTATATTCAATCTAAACTTCCCCTGTTTCAGTTTTAACCCATTACCCCTTGTCCTATCACTACAGTCCCTAATGAAGAGTCCATCCCCAGCATCCCTTACTCACTAGCATGCAGGAATGGGTTGATCCTGTACAGAGGGCTGTAGCACATAGTGTCTCTCATGGCTCTCTCTGCATCTCTTTTCCTCTTGCTTTCCATCCATCACTAGTACATGCAGCTTTTTTCTGTGTACCTGCTGGATGCAGCTGCTTGTCCTGCTTTTGGCAGGGCTCTGTGCTGCAGATGCTCCCCGTCTGCTAACCAGCAGCTGCTCTGTCTCCTTCTAGTTCCCACTCTGTGATGGCTCCTCCAGCCTGGCAGCTTTCTCTTCTCCTTCTCCTTGCCAGCTCCACTGCTTTTCTGTGATTCAGCTTCCCCCATCCCATTTGTTTGAAGGAGGGATTGAAAACAATCTGTTCCATCTTCGTGTCCCACATGGTGCGTCTGATCCTGTTCTTTCTCCAGAATTACTCTGTGCAACAGGAATGACACACAGAACAGTGCCAGAGCTGGAGCTGAAGGAAATGGGGTGCCCCATCCCTGGCAGTGTTCAAGGCCAGGTTGGACACAGGGGCTTGGAGCAAGCTGCTCCAGTGGAAGGGGTCCGTGCCCGTGGTAGGGGTTGGAGCTGGATGAGTTTTAAGGTCCCTTCCAACCCAAACCACTCTGGGATTCTGTGATTCAGTCTTTTGGGGTGAGCCTTGACCACCTCTACACAACTCACCACAAGCAGTGCCTTAACTAAGTGCAATATTGAGTGTTAGCCTCAGAGGTTCCCGACATACCTGGGCTTTGGCATTCCTGCTGCCAAAAATGCACCGAGGAATGTCAGCCACGAAACAAATCCTGTTTGGCTTGCGATAAAAAAGGTAGCAGCTGGGAAGCAGAAGTGGTTTAGTCACTTCTCCTGGCTCTGCTCATTTTGTAACTGCAAGCAGCAGTGAATCCGTGTAGACCGTGGCTCTTTCTCAATCTGATCTCAAGTTCTTGAACACAGTAACTATGAAAAGGGAAGTAGAGTCCTTAATATGTGGTGAATCTCTTTTTCCTGCCCACAGCAGGGGTTGGAACTGGATGATCTTAAGGTCCTTTCCAACCCAACCCATTCTATGGTTCTATGGCTGAACTTAATCCAAAGCATAACGATAATCCCATCTGTAGACCTGACTTTAAAATGCATGGAGTGCATCTATTGCCCTTCCTGTTCCTTTGTGACTTCTGCTCCTCACATGGCCCATTCTGCCATCTTGCTCTGCATCTTCAAAGCTTCTTCTTGAAACCACATTTAGTTCATTTTGTGAGCTGGAAAATAAAACTGGCTTTGCTCATATAAGATTTGTAGTGGATGCATGTTATATTTGGGGTTCTTCATGAGAAGTAGCTTGAAGGAAGCAATTAAAAAACAGTGTTTGTAGTTAATTTTGACCCTGTCTTAGTATGAGCTGAGTGTATATTTAACAGCCCATAATATTTTGGTTTCTTAAAGTAGCTTTAGACAACATATCAAAAAATGTGTTCAAAACTGCATGGCTTCCACTTATGCCACTCTAGTGCTATTGACTCTGACCTGTGTAAGCCTCAGTGAATGTTTTAGGTACATAGAGCTTGTGCTGTTGAGTCCAGCCCAGCTGATTGATGCTTGACATGCTCAAAGTACAGTTTCCTTCTCTTGTGCTTGTCCTGTGTTAATTCATGGAATCATGCAATGGTTTGGGTTGGAAAGGTTCATAAGATCATTCAGTTCCAACCTCTTGCCACTGGCAGGGACACCTCACACTAAACCATGACACCCAAGGCTCTCTCCAACCTGGCCTTGAGCACCGCCAGGGATGGAGCATTCACAACCTCCCTGGGCAACCCATTCCAGTGCCTCAGCACCCTCACAGTAAAGAACTTCTTCCTTATAGCCAATCTAAACTTCCCCTGTTGAAGTTTGAACCCATCACCCCTTGTCCTATCACTACAGTCCCTAATGAAGAGTCCCTCCCCAGCATCCCTACAGGCCCCCTTCAGACACTGGAAGCTGCTCTGAGGTCTCCACGCAGCTTCTCTTCTCCAGGCTGAACAGCCCCAACTTTCTCAGCCTGTCTCCATACAGGAGCTGCTCCAGCCCCTGAGCATCCTCGTGGCCTCCTCTGGACTTGTTCCAACAGCTCCATGTCCTTTTTATGTTGATGACACCAGAACTGCACACAATGCTCCAGGTGAGGTCTCACGAGAGCACAGCAGAGGGGCAGGATCACCTCCTTCAACCTGCTGGTCACACTCCTTTTGATGCAGAACTTTGCACTGAAAACCCTGTTGTTGTGTGTCACAGAACTTTGTTTTCTGTTGTCCGTTTGCTGCGGCTGCTCTGAAGTGAGGTGACAGAGTTCTTACACTTGCTGTTTGCCTGCCCCAAATCCAATCCTATGACTAGCCAAAAGGGCGGGATGGTTGGGTTGGTGAATTGGAAGCTACTGGGAAGGTTTTAATTCCTGCTGCACTTATGGCTTGTTCTTGTTGTCTCTTCCAGCTAATAAAAAGAAAGAGAAAGAGCGGCCCGAGATCTCCCTCCCTTCAGACTTCGAGCACACGATTCATGTGGGGTTTGATGCAGTCACGGGAGAGTTCACAGTAAGTGATGAATCTGGAGGAAAAGAGAGCTCTGTGGTTTGGCTTATTGCTGGGAGGAGCCATTAATCTTTCATGCAGTGATGCTGGGAAGGCTATTACCATCATGTGTTTGATCTCCTTTGAAACGCATCTGCAGAGGTTACCCACTAATTCCTGCTGAGAGACTGTTTGTCAAACTTGGCACATCCCAGGGACCCAGGCTGCCAGCAAACTTCACCTTTCCTGTTGGTTTGGCTCATGTGGACAGCAAAACACGGTGTATCTCTCCTCCCTTCGCCTCCCTTCCTCTTACAGAGCTGGATGAGGTTGACAGCATAGTCTGTGTCCACCAAGTGGGGTTCTGAGGGTTACCCTTTAGGAGACACACAGCCATGTATAACTGCTGTGTGTGCTGTCCTAAGGCAATGTCACATGCTTTTATGGCTGTTTTTATTGACATGAAAAATACTATGAGCACAGAGTTGGATTTCATCATCTTATGCTTCTTAATTTCATTATGAGATAGTATTTTATAGGAGCAGCAGTTGTTTGTGAGTAAGCTGGTTTCACCTGGCTTTAATATGCTCTTTTCAGGGACTTTGCTCTCCTCACCTCTTTCATATGTACAGTTGTTTTTCATGTCAGCCTCTAGACTTGATCAGTTTAACCTAGATGTACCCAAGTGGTGCATGCAGCATCCTTTTGAACAGGGAGGGTAGCTTTAGGCCTGTCACTTGCCACTGCATCTCTGCAGGCTTATTCTTGCTGCTGCTGAAAGGCACAAGTCTGATTGTACTTCAGGTGTGTTTGTTTTCTGGCTGAAATGATGTCTCTAATGAAATCCTGAGCTTCATGTGTGAAGTTAACATCTCTGCATTCCCAGCTCTGGTTGCAATAGGCACCAAACCACTAGTGTCAATGAGCTCTAGTGCTATGAGAAGACCCAAATGAATGTTGCATGTCCATTGTGCTAGGTGCTACACAGTAGATGTTGTTCTATGGACTTTCTTGGATATATGTAAATCTGTGTGTATAGTATGTGTGTAAAGGTTTTGGGGTTTTTTGGGCTTCATGCTCTTCCTGAACTGCAGCATTTGGCTCTGCTCCTTTCTGGGGTTTGAGTTTTGGTCTTCAAAGGACCTGGGACTTGCCCACAGCTTTGTGAGCAGAGTTGTGTCTGCATGTCTGTGTAACGAACGTGTGACTTGTAGCTCCTTCTCCTCTCCATCTCTTCCGCTCCTCTCCTTCTCTTATCCTGCTCCCCTCCTTCTCCTCTCCTGCTCCTCTCCTGCTCCTCTCCTGCTCCTCTCCTTCTCCTCTCCTTCTCCTCTCCTTCTCCTCTCCTTCTCCTCTCCTTCTCCTCTCCTTCTCCTCTCCTTCTCCTCTCCTTCTCCTCTCCTTCTCCTCTCCTTCTCCTCTCCTTCTCCTCTCCTTCTCCTCTCCTTCTCCTCTCCTTCTCCTCTCCTGCTCCTCTCCTGCTCCTCTCCTTCTCCTCTCCTTCTCCTCTCCTTCTCCTCTCCTTCTCCTCTCCTTCTCCTCTCCTTCTCCTCTCCTTCTCCTCTCCTGCTCCTCTCCTTCTCCTCTTGCTTCTCTCCTGCTCCTCTCATTCTCCTCTACTTCTCCCCTTCTCCTCCCCTTTTCCTCTTTCTCCTTTCTCCCCTCTTTCTCCTCTCTTTCTCCTCTCTTTCTCCTCTCTTTCTCCTCTCTTTCTCCTCTCTTTCTCCTCTCTTTCTCCTCTCTTTCTCCTCTACTTCTCCTCTACTTCTCCTCTACTTCTCCTCTACTTCTCCTCTCCTTCTCCTCTCCTGCTCCTCTACTCCTCTCCCTTCTCCTCTCCTCCTCTCCTCTCCTTTTCTTCTCCTGCTCCTCTCCTTCTCCTCTACTTCTCTTTTGCTTCTCTCCTGCTCCTCTGCTCCTCTCCTCCTCTCCTTCTCCTCTACTTCTCCCCTTCTCCTCTCCTCCTCTCCTCCTCTACTTCTCCCTTTCTCCTGCCCTTCTCCTCTCCATTTTCCTGTTTACCTCACAGCACAGTGTAGCTGTGGTACAACTGGAGTGAGTATCTGTGTGCTGTGAACACGTTGGTCACTACGAGCTAACAAGGTCCATCACTCTCCCCACAGGGAATGCCAGAGCAATGGGCACGTTTACTGCAGACTTCCAACATCACCAAGTCGGAGCAGAAGAAGAACCCTCAGGCAGTGCTGGATGTGTTGGAGTTTTACAACTCCAAGAAGATTTCCAACAGCCAGAAGTACATGAGTTTCACAGGTACATGCTGGTTGTCTCATATGGCTGCTTTGTCCAGCTTTCCATTAGTCACTACATGTGGGCTTTCCTTCCTTTAATCAATAAGTACATCTGTCTTATCAAGGAAGATGTGAGTGAGTGGCTGCTCAAGCATCCCTCTTCCTTCAACACATTGTTTTGTTGATCCTGATGCCTAACGTAGGTGCAAAAGAGGAGTCAGTCAGCTGGCCAAATCCCCAAACCACATAGGTTTTCTGAAGCTTCCAGCTGGGAGGCAGATCCCAGAGTGGTGGCATTGCGTTCCCAGTGATCCCTGGACAAACAGGCAGCTACATTTTGCACCAGTTCCACTTTCCCAGCATTTGTTCCCATGTGCCATGATTCAGGAATACTCTTCAGCTGCCAAGTGCTTGTTTATTGCTGGCTGGATTGCTCTAGAAATCAGAGCTGCCAAGGTTTTGTGCCTTCTTTGTATGGATTACCTGCCCACTGGAGAACATCTCCACCCACCACTCCTTTTCCCTTTCAACTGTAACTCATTCCCTTTATATTAAGCCCTGCTTTGGCTCTTCCAAGAGGACAGAGCCATGTCACCAGAACTGGTATTAATTAGGAAGGCTTCAGGCAGGGATAAAAGCACAAATCTTCCCTGTATGTGTGTGAACAGTCAAACAAGAAGCCCATCAGTTGACTTGTGGGTTCCTCTAATTCTATTCCAGGAAGCTGATGTGGCTGAGAGGGAGCATCTTGCAGGTCTCAGGCCAGCTGCAGTGCCTCAGCTGGTGATTTAGCCCATTGCAAAGACTTTGTATATATGGATGGAGACAGTATTCGTTCTGGTGTTGCTCTGGGAAGTTACACCCTCCAGCAGCAGGGATTTGGGGCTCCTGCCTGTATCTATCAGTTTTTTACCCTCTATTCCTGTTATTTTTTACCCTCTATTCCCATATCTGCCTGGTGTCAGCTTGTTCTGGGAACCTGAAGGTAATGCCAAGGTTTCGGAGCAGCCTTTTTTCCTTCTTCTTCCAAAGGGAGCTTGTCCTTTTCTCCTCTCCCCACTACTACTGCATTACAACTCATTTACAATGCCTTTACTATCTCTTTCAGATAAATCCACAGAGGATTACAATTCATCAAATACGTTGGTAAGCCTGATACTTACATAAAACCTTGCATAGAGTAGTAAACGACATGTAAACTTCCAGTGTTTTAAAATCTGAACTATGTACATTTGTATAGTGAAGACACATTTATAAACCAAGGCATGCTCCTTGCACCTTTTCTAACAACTGGGAGAGAACCAAGTAAGCAGAAGCAGCTTTTATTAGTGAATAATGAATAGAAATTAGGGAAGTAATGAATAGAAAGAGTTGTGTGTCCATAGAAGTCAATCTGTTCCTGTAGCTCGACTTTGACAACCACTGTGTCAGGTTTTATAAGTCTCTATAAACATCTCTGATATAAACCCCAATTAATTACTAACCCACAATATCTGATTGACCATAACTAATGTTGGTTACTGTTGATTAACTAAACTAATCTGCAGATCAGGAAATAAAAGGTTCTCCTCTCTGCTTGACCTTTACTCTGTCCGTACCAGGGCAGGCACCACTCCTGTTTGCTTTGTAAGGTGCAATACGTTCATGTGTATGTGAGATGGAAGAAACCAAGCTTAATCAGTTAAGATGAGTCATAACCCCCCACAATTCCCTCATCTCTTGCTTTCTCACTGCCATGCCATTGCCTGGAGTTGACTGGTTCTGCTCCCTTCCACAGGCAGCATGTTCAGATCTGGTCATTTGGGACTCCCTATGAAAGGGAAAGAGTTTCTGGTGCTGTTCATTCATTGCACATCCATCCTTGGGAGTTTACAACAGATGAGGCTGTTGGATTTTAAAGTAAACCCTGAAAAAAACAGTAGTTGCCAATGTGCTAAGATTGGGTTTGGGGGACACTGGATAAGCTTTAGTTTTGGGTATATACTGGTAGAAGGTGTCCCTTTGCATGGCAGGGGGTTGGAACTGGATGAGCTTTAAGGTCCTTTCCAACCCAAACCAGTCTGTGACATTCAGGAAATAGGTTGTTTTTCTCATTGCTTTTAACAGGCAAAGCTTTTGTGTTATGTTATATATCATTAACACAAAGCTTTTGTGGTGTTAATGATATATCAGGGTGCTGGTGACTCCAAGTATCATAGGTTCAGTGAAATACCAGTGCTTTACCCCTCTTACACAGAGAACTCTTTCCCCCTGCCACTCTCAGGGAACTGGTGATGCGTGAGCAGAACTGGTCTAGTGGGTTGAGGATCTCACCAAGTGTATTTTGAGATGTTGGTAGTGTAAAGATGCCATGAACTTCAAATCCAGCTTCAAATTTAGGAGGTTAAAAGTGACTTTTGTTCCTAATCACAGCATTGCAAAAAAAATCCAGATAATTTTCTAAACCACTTAAAAAGCTTTAAAAAAATATATTTTTTTCATGTTTTTCATGAAATTTTCTTATAGAAAGCAATTTTAAAAGGGATTTGAAAAGATTTTACCAGGTTCTGTTTTCAGTATCTTTCCTTAGCTCCATCACCATCCCAAAGCTGATGATAACTCAACCTCCCAACTTGCAGAGAGCACATGAAGATTTTAATGCTAATTCAGGCAGTTAAAGATTTCCTTTTCCTTTTTGCTGTTTGTGTGACCCCATGCAGAATGTGAAAGCTGTCTCCGAGAGCCCTGCAGTGCCCTCAGTGTCTGAAGATGAAGATGATGAAGATGATGCAGCTCCACCCCCTGTGATAGCTCCGCGACCTGAACACACGAAATCTGTGAGCAGAAATACTTCCTTCAGCCCCACCACTGCATGTCCTGACTGTGATCCCTCATCCGTGGTGCTGAGCCCTTCTTGGGAGCAGGAGGGAGGAGGTTAGAGCCATTCCTTCTGGCTCAGCACCTTTGTTTTATCACCTATTAGGGGGGACAAAGTAGCTATAGAAATGCAGCCCTGACAGCATCAAGAACAAGAACAATGTGAATAGAAGTGTTTAAACCTTCATCTAACGTTTCTCTCCACAAAACTAGATCTACACCCGCTCTGTGATAGACCCTCTGCCTCCTCCAACCAGAGATGTGGCCACCTCTCCTATTTCTTCTCCCTCGGAGAACAGCACAGCGGCGCCCGATGCGCTGGTCAGGAACATGGAGAAACAGAAGAAAAAGCCAAAAATGTCAGATGAGGAGATCTTGGAAAAATTAAGTATGTTCCTCCCTTCAAATTCCAGGTCCTGCTCTGTTGGGTTCTCAGAGCTTTCATAAGCTGCAGTGTTTTGACAGCCCCATTTTGAGATCCCTTACTGATGACGTTGCCTTGTGACTGCGTGCCAAAACCGGCGGCAGATGTGAGGAGGGAGCATAAATGTAAGCTGAGCACCTGTGATGCCAACTGAGTCCCCAGGGAGTTACAGCTCCCGAGGCTCTGCAAAACAAGCCCTCAATAGGTAACATCTACTTAACTGTGAGGTCTCAGTTTGCTCCTCATGGTATTCTGCAGCTCTGGAGTGTGGATATTGCAGTGTTGGACATAAAGTGTCTAAAAGATGGAGAGAAAGCGCATCCCTGTGCTCACCTTCCACAGTACCATGGTGTAAAGGCTCTTGGTTATTCTTAAGTGCCTTAACATTGCGTGGGCACCCAAATTAGTGGTGGTTTTTAAGACAAATCCATCGTGTTTCTCTGTCGTGGTGTCTTTAACAGTGTCTGCCTTCAGTTCAAGTGCTGCCTGGTATTTCAGGGTTATGCTGTAGCATGTACAACAGCTGAATCAGCTGATGCTATCCTCAGCCTGGGCCAGTTTCTGTTAGGGTAGGGCATTTCTAATCCTTTGAACTACTAATCCTGTATTAATTACAGCCGTGCCTTGCTTGTCAGTTGATGTAAATTGTGTTAGCACCTCTATGGTCAGGATGATCTCCTGGGTTGAGGGTATACCCCTGAAGGTCAGTATTATATGGAGCAAAGACTAACTGCTAGATGAAGAAGAATTTAATCTGAGGGCCTAATTTAATAGTAAAATGGCACCCGAGTCCCTCATTCCTCTAAAGAAAGCTTCATTTGAATTGATGGCATCTTAACTGGACCTACTGCAGTCCAGCGCAGTGTTCCTAAGTATTGACATCGCAATCAGAACCCATGTACCATTAAGGATTCAAGCCCTTCTTGTGACCAGGTAGGACAAGCAGGGACTATGGCAGGAGAAAAAGTGCAATCCTAATACAACTACACTCACTTCTGTAAGGAAGAGAACGGCAAGTGCTGCTCCCAGGAGTGTTGGGAGGCAGATGTAACTTGTGACACCCTCCTTGCTCCAGCAAGTGGCGTTCAGTGCTGAACTGGTGATCCTTTAGCATTGAGGACATGGAACTGTTGGAACAAGTCCAGAGGAGGCCACGAGGATGATCATGGGCTAAAGCATCTCCTGTATGGAGACAGGCTGAGAACATTGGAGCTGTTCAGCCTGGAGAAGAGAAGCTGTGTGGAGACCTCAGAGCAGCTTCCAGTGACTGAAGGGGGCCTATAGGGATGCTGGGGAGGGACTCTTCATCAGGGACTGGAGTGATAGGACAAGGGGTGATGGGTTCAGACTGAAACAGGGGAAGTTTAGATTGGATATAAGGAAGAAGTTCTTTCCTGTGAGGGTGCTGAGGCACTGGAATGGGTTGCCCAGGGGAGTTGTGAATGCTCCATCCCTGGCAGTGTTCAAGGCCAGGTTGGACAGAGCCTTGGGTGCCATGGTTTAGTGTGAGGTGTCCCTGCCCATGGCAGGGGGTTGGAACTGGGTGATCTTAAGGTCCTTTCCAACCCAAACCATTCTGTGATTCTATGATTGAGGGATTTCATTGTAGATACACATGTGTGTGTGAAGTTCAGTGGTTGCTGTTAAGTGTCAGCTTCTAGGTATGGGCAGGACAGAAATAAGCAATGAGGTTTTAATCCTGTTGTCAACTGGTGTTTTTGCACTGAGGGCAGTGGCGTTGTGCACACACGCAACCTTTACATCTTTTGGTTTGCCATGTAACTGCAGTGATTAAACTCTTAAAGCACATACGTATTTACACATACTGAAGATGTACAAAGGTTCAAAGGAAGCTGATAAATCTCTTAGCATTATCACAGCATTGGTGCAAGCATTACTGAATCCTCGCCTGGCTCTTTGGAAGGTAGGAAACATTACCCCATTTGAGGGATGAGAGCATTAAACAGGGCATGCCTCTTGTCACTGCAGCATTCTGTGCTGTCACTGCCTTGGGGAAGCGTTTCCCTGTCTCACAGTCTGTCCTTGTAGCCTGTGTCAGGCTTTGATGGAGAGTTTATGACTATTTGCCCAGGAATTCTTGTTGTCAGGGCAGACAGCATTGCTTCCCTAATTGTACAGTGGGTTTATACAGCCGGATTGCTCCTCTCTCACTCCTGTCCAAACATGGGCCATATTCCCTTCCTTTACCTCTTGTCTGCCCGAAACCCTGTAGGTTTGGCTGCTCTCCAGTGCTGTCTGAAAATAGCCTGCTCTTACTCTGCTTGCTACTGCATTTCTTGGCCTGATGACCATGAGCAGTTTCTTTGCCAACATACATCTGGTTAGGCTCAGCCCGAGATCCCTTGGAAAGCAGCACCATATGTTGGCAGCTTGGGTGACTTGCAAACAGCAGCTCAGATGCAGCTCAGCATCCCTTGATCCTATTAGCCCCCCGGGTGCTGTTAGAGAGGAGGCTTGCTCCCAGCTGAGCTCTAGGGAGATGTTGGCTGTGGTTTCCTCAGCCTGGAAAGGGTGGGATTCCTGCCTGCCTCGGGGGAGCTGTGAATATCGGTTAATGTTTGCAGGGAGCGCTGAGCTGCAGTGATGCTCCTTTGGACAGCTTCTCCACTTCACCCCTTGGCAACTCAGCCTGTGATTTGCAGTTCCCTGGCACATCAGGCTGAGAGAGCTGGGCTGGATCAGCCTGGAGAAGAGAAGGCTCCTGAAGGGGAGACCTTAGAGCAGCTCCAGTGCCTAAAGGGGCTACAGGAAAGCTGGAGAGGGGCTTGGGACAAGGGCCTGTAGGGCCAGGCCAAGGGGAATGGCTTGAACCTGCCCGAGGGGAGACTGAGCTGAGCTCTTAGGCAGAAGCTCTTCCCTGTGAGGGTGCTGAGGCGCTGGCACAGGGTGCCCAGAGAAGCTGTGGCTGCCCCATCCCTGGAACTAGATCAGGGATGCAGATCTGTCATTCCTGGAGTGCAGTTACCACTTTTAAGGGGAATACCCCCACCTCCAAAGCCTGGAAACAGAATATCATAGAATCATAGAAGGGTTTGGGTTGGAAAGGACCTTAAGACGATCCAGTTCCAACCCTTTGCCATGGGCAGGGACACCTCACACTAAACCATGGCACCCAAGGCTCTGTCCAACCTGGTCTTGTGTGCCTCTGGATTCTTGATGAGTGGTTCACAATGCTCAGCAGAGCCCACTGTGACTATGGGGCTGCTCTTAAAGTACAGCTGGTTCTTAAAGCTGTACCACAAAGTCCTTATAAAAGCTTCTTATTTTCTTTTGTAGGAAGCATTGTGAGTGTGGGTGACCCCAAAAAGAAGTACACGTGTTTCGAGAAGATCGGACAAGGGTTAGTACATCCTCCTCTTCCCTCCTATGCCTTTCCTTACGCTAAGAAGGAAGTGCTGAAACCAGGCTAAGTGAGTTTGCTGCGAAAGCCTTTGCTGATGCTTTGGAGAGTTTCTTGTGTTTGATTGGGGCTTTCTTGCTTTCTTGTGTGGTTTTGGTTGTTTAGGAGGGGTTCCACAGCTCCTCTCCCTTTCCTGGCAATGTCTTGAGTCACAGGGACTGTTTGGGGTTTTTTGTGTGTGTGTGGTTGTGTTTTAATAGGAGAAAACACGTCATTAGATGATCAGGTTGCTAAATATGTCTGCAAGCAGGGAAGGAGCTGCTTGTTTTCAGTGTGCAAGATGATCCGAGCCAACTCTCCTGGACCATGGGTCTTGTGCCCCTCTTGGCAGGGTTAGGACAAAGCAGGGGTTTAGGAGAGGTTATAGAGAGGCAAATCAGTGCGGGTCACTGAGATCTGCTGTCAGCTCCCTGTGCTGAGGCTCAGACTCCCATTTCCCTCACTACAAATGCCTCATCCTGTTTGCTTTAGCTGGTGCTGGTTGCTCTGTAATCACATTGGGCAGTCTGCAAGCTGGGGCCATGCCAGCTTAAATGGGATCAGCTCATGGTCCTACAAGCAATGCTAAGTTGCTGGTTTAGCAGCAAAGGCTTGGGTGACCACAGTGCCCCTTATTAGGAGCTTTGTTCCCCCTAAGTTCTTTGGCTTCTGCTCCAACAGCAGCCTTGGCTCAGAACTATTTCACATGTTATTTACCATTGGAATTGCTGCATGAGAAGGAATGGGAGTGAGAGCCCTTCAGGGACAAGTGGGAAGGGGCATGTTTTAGGCTCTCAGTCTTGCTATGAGGCACTGATAAGTGTTTGTTTCTTTCTCTTCTCTCTGATTTAGAGCCTCAGGTACAGTTTACACAGCAATGGATGTAGCTACAGGGCAGGAGGTAAGTGCTGCCAGGATACCACAGCAGTGGATTGTGTGCTAACAGGTCGAGTTGATGCTACAAGGCAAAGATGCTCTGTCAGGGCTCTATGGCTTCTTATGTTTAATGAAGTATTTATGGGGCAGAGAACTGGGGGAAAAAAAGGATTTCCCCAGTGTTGGTTCCTGAATCATTTCATACTTGTAAAGAAGCTTTCTGTGACCGCAAAGGCTACAAGCAAATGTTCAGACTCTTCATCCCCAAGACTCCTGCCTGTCCCTACTTAAACTCTTTATGTGCTTTATGGCTTCCTACACTTACAGTAGTTGACTTACATAGAAATAGTTCCTCTCCCACCCCTTGCCCACTTGCTTTCTGCCCTTGAGTTGAGAGACAAGGAATGTCTTTCTATGGTTTTCTGCCCCTTCTGCATATTGAAAAGCGCCCTACATGTTGGATGCATGCATAATAAAGTAGTGAGGGATACGCAGCATGTGTGGAAATCATTAATGATGATGGAGGACTTTTAAAGAGGGAAGTGTATGCATTATTCCAGATACATTTATGGAAGTCTGCAGCAAAGTGTGTCTGCTTTGCATTTGTACAGCAGCAGGGTCATGCACCAGTAAATGTCATAACTGCTTTTGCTGAAGCTCCTTCACCCCCTTTTCCAGTTCCTGGAGCATTCAGACAGTTTAATTGCAGCCCTTGAGGAAAGAGCATTGCAATTAGTTGGAAGCAATGAGGAATTTCACAGGAAGAGGAGGAACTCCTTTGATGGTTTTCTGTCTTCTTTCTGGATCCCTTCAGTGACTCCCTCAACGGGAGTGAGGAAGTACAGGAGCCTTTCTGAAGCATCCTTAGTGTTGCTCTGGTCTTCCTTCATCTGCATCCTGTGCCTTGCCTCTCCTGCCTCCTGCCATGCTGAGTAGTCTTGTTGATTTGAAGGCTGTCTGAGAGCCAGGTGCTCTCATGACAGAGTGGAACATAGGAGTTCAAACGTGCTGTTAAAACCCTCCTGCTTTCTGCATCTACACATGCAGAGCAGATACCCTGAAGCAGGCAGAAAGCTACTCAGCCAAAGGGCTACAACAGACAAATCCATCCCTAATGCCTTTATATGTAAATAACTGGGAATGAAGGTGAATCTGATTCAGTGCTTCTCAGCCTTTTACCTAAACACTGGTGCTTCTTTCTCCCAGGTCTTGCTGGGAGAGAAAGAAACAGAATCACCACCTCAAAGTACTACACTACTCGTACTCAAACTACTAACTCAGCCTGGTGTTACGTACACCTTCCATGCATGGCTGCCCTGCGGTAGAGTTCTAGAAGCAGAAATGTGCATGGAAGCAGGGAAAACACCAAAGAACTTCCATAAACTTCCAACCCAAACTAAAATTAATAGGAATCCTTTAAGAAATAAAAGGTTTCTGTCATACCAGTCCCTATTAGAGTAGGAGATCTCTCCGTTGTTACCAAGAAGCTGTAGATGGAGGTGGCCATCCAGATGTGACATAGAGGGCCACTATGGAAGTTTTAATTCCCCTCATCCTTTTTGGCTTTAAGGATCTTCCATCATGTGGAAATGAACTAGCTGCAGGAATTCAGTTGCAGATGGCTGAGGAGCCCATGATGGACAGAGTGTTTGGGACTGCAGTAATCCACCACTGTGCAGGTTTCGAGGGGACACCTGTAGTAATGCTCTATTTGGTCTTTCTTCACTGCAGGTTGCAATCAAGCAGATGAATCTGCAGCAGCAGCCCAAAAAGGAACTGATTATTAATGAAATCCTTGTGATGAGGGAAAACAAAAACCCCAACATTGTCAACTACTTGGACAGGTAAGTCATGGTTTGAGGGGTGCTCACAAAGGGACTTGCGAACACTGCCTTGTCACTGCCTTGAGTGATGCTGTTTCAGCTTAAGGCTGGTATATGCCAACCTTGCATTGCTTCATGCACGTGGCAGTGCTGGGGTGGCTTGGTGGTCTCTCTCCATATCCCAAGAGAAACAGGTATCTGAATCAGTTCTCATGGAGTATTTAGGCTCTCTTTAAAGATGCTGGCAGCAAAAGCATTAGCAATATGCTCCTCTGGGCAACCTGAGAGCATCACCACCCTCATAGGGAAGAACTGCCTAAGAGCTCATCTCAGTCTCCCCTCTGGCAGGTTAAAGCCATTATCAACACAGCTTTGGTGCATTATGTCAAGCCTGTGCCATTCACCTTATGTTTGAGAGACACCTAATTCCAGTAGGGCTGCAGCCTGATGTTCAGGCAGCACCAGAACCTCACAGTCCTGATGAGGTTTGATCACTTTAGGGTAAAGAGAGAGCCTGCATAGGGTGAGCTGCAAACTTGGCAGCTCTTTTTGAAGATGCAATGGAGAGATTTGACCTAGAATCTCTTTTGGGAATCTGAGAGAATATTTGCACATTTGCTTGCTCTGCATGTGCATCGAAATCTTATCAGCTGCTGCTTTTAACAGATTTCTGTAACAGGCTTTTAATGTCTTAGCCAAAGAAGTTATTTCTTGTGTACTGCAGCATCAGTTGCGTCCTGTGCATAGCAGTGAAGAGAGGCTTTGCTGGAGGGGCAGAAAGCCTGCTCCTGAAATTCTGGGGAGGGGTGTGTGTGCAGGGAAGTGATGCTGGGTTAGGGTTAGGGTTAGGGTTAGGGTTAGGGTTAGGGTTAGGGTTAGGGTTAGGGTTAGGCTGTCTTCTTTCAGAAAGGAGATGACCTGTGTAAAGTGAAACAAATGGTAAAGAAGAGCTAGGAATTATGGAATCACAGAATGGTTTGGGACCGTGATCATGAGACCTCTCAGATCCGTGCTACTTCCACTAAAAACGATGCCAAAAGGTTTGCATCTGTCCCCTGCACAGCATAAAATTACAGCATGGGTTTGGATTGGAAGGACTGAACTCATCCAGTTCCAACTTCCCTAAGAGCTCAGCTCAGTCTCCCCTCGGGCAGGTTCAAGCCATTCCCCTTGGCGTGGCCCTACAGGCCTATGTCCCAAGCCCCTCTCCAGCTTTCCTGCAGCCCCTTCAGGCACTGGAGCTGCTCTAAGGTCTCCCCTTCAGGAGCCTTCTCTTCTCCAGGCTGCCCCAGCCCAGCTCTCTCAGCCTGGCTCCAGAGCAGAGCTGCTCCAGCCCTCGCAGCAGCTCCATGGCCTCCTCTGGCCTCGCTCCAACAGCTCCACGTCCCTCTTGTGCTGCTGCCCCAGAGCTGGATCAGGGCTGCAGGGGGGTCTCCCCAGCAGAATGAGTTGCTTCTGAGCTGAAACTGTTTATGTCTCCTGCCTGATTTGAGGCTTTGTTTTGGCAAAGCTGTTTGAGAGACGTGCTCTTCCATTAGAGAGAGCATGGCTGCGTACATGCACTTGCCTTGTCTGGCTGGCACATCCCAGCTGCAGGGTAGCTGCTCATTCTGCTCTCTTGTTCAAACTTCCAGAACAAAAGCTGCTGCTTTTGTCCTCTGCTTTCTCTCCCTAATCTTTTTCAGAGGGATTAGCTGTTCTTTGAGTGCTGCAATTGGACAGAGTGGCAACTAGGATGAACAGGGGGATTCTTGTGCCTATTATGCCAGGATCCTGTTGCTGGGGAGCTTGGTCTCTCCTGCCTGGTCTATTGTGCCTGTTTGAATGAAGCTGCTATTTGAATGCTGCTTACTGGCTTCTGCCTATTGCTGTTGCAGAAGGAAGCACAAGGAAGGATGTACTGACCATTGCAGGACCTGTTCTTGACATTGTCTCCACTTCTAAGTCCCTAATAGGGCTGCAAGAGAGTCATTGGCATAAACCATCTCTCTTGCTTCTCTTTGCCTCAGCTGCTGTCCTTATGCCAGGCTTTCCTGTGCTTTATTCTCTCATCTGCTTGTCCCACTTGCTCATGGTAAAGAGAGGATCTCTGCTGCAGCATAAGCAGCCAGTGTGGCACGAAGTTGTGCTCTGACATTTAAGGCAGTGACATGGCCTAATTCAGCTGTACTGAGGAGCTGAATTTAGAAGCATCTGGCTCTCAAGAGTGGGACAGCAGGTTTCCTGTGCAGACAAGCAGCCGTTTGTGCTGATTTACTTTGTGGAGGTGTCAGTGTCTCCTGCATGAAGGAGGCCCTCAGAGTCCTGCTTCCAACCACAGGCAGCAGATCCCCAGGGTCACTCAAAGCAAACTGCTGCTCTTTGGTTTCTTCCTTCTCGCAGAACTCTCCTTAACCCAAGAAACCCCACAAATCCTCCACTTTAAGTGGTAGCCACTGTTACCATCACCCCATCCCCAAACTCAACCAGGGCTGGAAGGTCAGGGGATAAAGCTGAAGGTATACGACAGTCGTGCAGCAGAAAACACTGATTTCTTCGCAGGCTGACTCATGTTTGCATGTTGCTGGTGTAGAAATCTATAAAGGGTGATCTTGCACCTGTGGGGAAACCATATTTCATAAAGCTGGTCAATAAGAAAGGTCTACGAGTGACTGGTGTGTGTGATAGGGAGGGTTTGGTGGACACCTTCCTAAGGCATCTAAGCCTTCCAGGAGTAGACACTACGTGCTCATGCAGATGGATGGAGAGAAGGCCGTAGGCCACCTCCTCCTTCCTCAAAGACTTCCATCAGCTTGTTTTTCCTGCCAGCCTTGATTTGGAAGATGTGGGATCCAAGGTGCAACACCATGCTGTGCCTGGCAGCACATGGGGAGCAGCATGTAGGTGTATGGGCTTCCTGGTGGTGTCACCAGCGCTGCTGAGAGGGTGGTTTTGAGTCACGCCAACAGTGACAGGCAGCTCAGTGACTAAAACTGGCCTCTGCTGCAGCAAGAGAGCGAAAACATCCCTGAGACAGCATCACCCAGGCTTGTGAAACGACATTTGCTTGGCAGCAGCTTGCAGGAGCTGCTGTTAGTTAGTTCCACCTCCCTGCGTGTTGTGTCAGCTTGATCAGTTATTGAGGTGCCTGGGTCTTGGCATGTGCTTTTGGCTGCTCATGGCACAACTTTGGTTCACAGTGTGGTTCTTGGCTTGCTCCATCCCTTTTGGCTGGAGAAAGAGTCCAGTTTGCTAACAGCATGGTCGGCCTGGAGGAACGTGGGAGTGATGGAGCCCATTCTGCCTGTTCTGTAGGGATAGGACGAGGGGGAATGGCTTTAAACTGTCAGAGGGGAGACTGAGATTAGACATTAGGAAGAAGTTCTTCCCTGCCCTCATTCAAAGCCCCTCTCCAGCTTTCCTGCAGCCCCTTTAGGCACTGGAGCTGCTCTAAGGTCTCCCCTTCAGGAGCCTTCTCTTCTCCAGGCTGACCCAGCCCAGCTCTCTCAGCCTGGCTCCAGAGCAGAGCTGCTCCAGCCCAGTTTTATGGCCAGGAAACTTGTAGCCTGCTCTTCAAATACCTCTCTCATTGACTTCCTGCACTCACCCTTCAGGTTTTGATCAGATCCTCCCCTGTACAGAAACTACAACAAGTACCGGATGCTCCAGTGCTGTTAAATGCACTGCCCAAGCCTCATGATTCCTCTGTGTGTCTAAGACAGCTTCAAAACGCAGTGTGTTCTGAATGGGTAAACGGTGGCATGCTCACACTTGCTGATTTTAACACCTGGTTTGGGCTCTCCAGTTACCTTGTAGGAGAAGAGCTCTGGGTGGTCATGGAGTACCTGGCAGGAGGCTCCCTCACAGATGTTGTGACCGAGACCTGCATGGATGAAGGACAGATCGCAGCCGTGTGCCGAGAGGTAAAGCAGCACTTGTGCTTGGAGGGAGCCACGGTTGGGAAGGGGACATGGGCTTTCCATGAGCTGGCACTGCCTCCACAGGAATAGCTGTCTCCAGCTCCTGTAACGCAGCAGTTGTTGAAATAGCTCCTGTAAACGTAGAATCATGGAATCACAGAATGGTTTGGGTTGGAAAGGACCTTAAGATCATCCAGTTCCAACCCCCTGCCATGGGCAGGGACACCTCACACTAAACCATGGCACCCAGGGCTCTGTCCAACCTGGCCTTGAACACTGCCAGGGATGGAGCATTCACAACCTCCTTGGGCAACCCATTCCAGTGCCTCAGCACCCTCACAGGAAAGAATTTTCTCCTTATATCCAATCTAAACTTCCCCTGTTTCAGTTTGAACCCATCACCCCTTGTCCTATCACTACATCACCCTAATGAAGAGTCCATCCCCAGCATCCCTATAGGCCCCCTTCAGATACTGGAAGGCTGCTATGAGGTCTCCACACACCCTTCTCTTCTAATGCATCATCCTTTCAGAGGATGGGTTTCATCCAGGAGGTTGCAGCATCCAATCCTAATACATTTCACCATAAAGGGAGGACTAGATACAAAATGGGCTTGGAGTCCTTGGGTTCTCTTATGCCTGTTCTTCAGGACTTTTGGGACTAACTTGTCCTCCTATGACCTGCTAATCCCAGTGGGATATCTCTCTGTAGGCTCACATGCACTGAGGATATGAAAGTCTCTAAGACACCATGCCCTTGCTACTCAAAATGCACATTGCTAGACCATGAGTTGGCTAATTGCGACTGGTGAATGATTTCATGCACAGTAAGAATATCTCAATTCTTTTATGTTTCATTTTGGGTTTTTTTCCAGTGTCTCCAAGCTCTGGAATTCCTCCATTCAAACCAAGTTATTCACAGAGACATCAAGAGTGACAACATCCTGCTGGGAATGGACGGCTCTGTCAAACTAAGTATGTGGGGACCATCACTGGTGATGGCTTGAGTTGTCAACCCAAGTCTGTATCTGCTCTGAGACAGGCCTATTAGGGAGATGGGTGTTGGAGGTGCTTGATGTGGTGGTGAAGAGGCTGTGGAGATGCTCCTGTAGGTATTTTGTGGCCCTGGCTTTAAGGGAGATGGGCATTCATGAATCCTTGTGAATGGATACCAGACTCAAAGTGAGATTTGGGGTTTGTCCATCTGGTTTTGTGGGCTAAGATAACTGTATTTTAATGCTACTCCAGTCTAGAAAAGGAGTGAATTGAAAACTGTGTAACTAGAAAACACTTCATCTTCCATCTCCAACCCAGACTGACCTCTAAACACTGTTTTTGTTTCCTCCTTGTATTATCACCACTCATGAAGACCTTGAGACCCTTCTGCCCCTCGGGTGCTAAGGTGGCTCTTGTTCTTATCCTTGCCCATGCAGAGATAAGGCTGGAAAGCAGTGAATGATTATCTTCCACCTCTAGCTTTAACAGAATTGTGCTCCTTCCCTCCTGCTCTCAGTTCTGTTGGCTGGCACCCAACAGGCATAAATACATCTATTTTTGTCAGCACTGACAGCAGCTATGACTCAAAATTCACACAGTGCAGATATGCTGAGTAAGAAGGTGGGGGATTTTTCTTTTTGCACATAATTGCTTTTTAGACTAAAGCTGTACTTTGGTACAGTCACATCTCTGGAGCGTTAGCAACGAATAGCTGATCAGGGCCAAAGTGCTCTGTTCTTATGGAACAGCTTCTTTGAGCACACTCTGCAGGTACTGGGCTGTACTTTAGAGAGCTAAATCCCTGTGGATACGATGCAGTAACCTTCTGGACCTGAGCTGCTTATTGGCTCTGCTGGACATTTCCTCTTGTCATGAACCATATGTGCCTTCCCTGGTTGTTACCCTTGATGAAACCTCAGTGAGGGATCAGGATAATTTCCATCATCCTGCCTAAAATTAGAGCTGTGGTGCCACAGGGGGTCAGGATGGGCAGTGCTGGGCTCGCAGGAACAGGAGGAGCTTTCTCTTGGTAAGTCAAACACAAGTAGGAGATAGGAGCCAGCAGTCTCTGTGTGAGGGCTCCTCATCTTTCAGTCTATTCAAGGAAAACAATCACTATACATTTAGGTACTTTACATTTATTTTGGACACTGTTTGCTCTGTAAATCAAAGCCTGTTTGAGGGATGATGCGATGATGCATCTACTGGGGAAGTGCTGTCTCTGGGACTGCAAATATCATAGAACCATAGGATGGTTTGTGTTAGAAAGGACCTTAAAGCTCCTCCAGTTCCAACCCCTGCCACAGGCAGGGACCCCTTCCACTGGAGCAGCTTGCTCCAAGCCCCTGTGCCCAACCTGGCCTTGAACACTGCCAGGGATGGGGCAGCCACAGCTTCTCTGGGGAACCATCAACAAATACCTGCAGCATGTGGGTTGGGGGAGGCATCTAGGTCAGATTGTACATTAATTTCTTTCTTAACATCCCCAGAAACAGTCTTTAAGCCATATATTACATATTACAGCTGCATAATGCTGCAAGCACAGTCAAGTGTCCCAGCATCTTAGAGTTACTTACTAATCTCCATCATCCACATAGACAAGTCTGTGATCCTCATGGCCTTGCTGGGTCAGATTTCGAACCCTACCTCTCAATGCCATTTTCTGTATTAGAATCATAGAATCAAGGTTGGAAAAGCCCTTTAAGCTCATCCAGTCAAGCCATTCCCAGCACTGCCAAGGCCACCACTGCCCCATGCCACTGAGGCGTCGTCTCCACGGGGTGTGAACCCTTGCAGGGCCGGTGCCTGCAGCCCTGCCCTGGGCAGCCTGTTCCAATGCCTGAGCACCCTCTGGGGCAGGAATTGGTCCTCAGCTCCATCTAAACCTGCCCTGGTGCAGCTTGAGGCCGGTTCCTCTTGTCCCATCCCTTGTTCCTTGGGAGCAGAGCCCAGCCCCTCCTGGCTCCATCCTCCTCTCAGGCACTTGGAGGCAGCCATCAGGTCCCCCCTGAGCCTTCTCTTCTCCATCTGAACCCCCCAGGTCCCTCAGCCCTTCCCCATCACACTTGGGCTCCAGGCCCTTCACAAAACCACCCCTCCTTGCACAGTTGCAGCAGGGTAACCACAGCTCTAGCATCTGGAAGCATTGTTTTGGATAAACTTGCTGATTTTTGTGTCTCTTTCTTTCTCCCCCCCCTCTTTATTTTGCAGCTGACTTCGGGTTCTGTGCCCAGATCACTCCCGAGCAGAGCAAACGCAGCACCATGGTGGGGACCCCGTACTGGATGGCACCTGAAGTGGTGACACGGAAAGCATATGGGCCCAAAGTGGATATCTGGTCACTGGGGATAATGGCCATCGAGATGATTGAAGGGGAGCCCCCCTATCTCAATGAGAACCCCCTAAGAGTAAGCGAGTATCTGTTGTCCTCAGGTCTTTGCTAAGTGACTCCTCCAGCCCCCTATCTCCTTACGTGCCATAGTGAGAAGATGGAGATAGTTGTAGTTATAAGCCATAGTTTGCTCTGGGTAGCAGAGGTGTGGGTTCTTCCTGTGCAGACCCTCTGGTCAGCTTAGATGAGTTAGGTCATGCACACTCATCATCTTCCACTTTCTGGAGATGCTGATAGAGGCAGAAAGAGTGCCTGATGGCACCAAAGCAGCTGACTTCTGGAATCCTTGTGCACTCAGTAGGGAAGAGTTGTCCTGAAGTGCAGGAATATGACATTACTATTCTATAAATGGAGCTTTTTCTTCCTGCTGATTGTTCCTCCTTGCATGTCCCAAATAAAGCTCCAAGATTAATACACCTTTGGCAGGGCTTGAGCCTCCTTGTTTAGTTTATAATGAAAGGGGTGATGCTGTCAGTTTATAGGGGTGTAACTGCTCTTCATACAAGCCAGGTTTATGGCTTCTCCCTCAGCTACACAGGATCTAGAAAGATTCTGTTTGTCTCCATCTCTTGCTCTGGAACTGATTTTGGGGAGAGAAGAGCAGCAGCAAAGAGCGAAAGGAGCTGGGTGTTGAGTTAAAGGAAGGTGGCTGCGTAACAGGGCTTTGGCCTCATTTAACTCAACTTGTGCCAATTCCCAGGCTGTCAGCCTGCTCCCATGGGATGTGCTGAGTGATGTGCTCCAAGGGGCTGTGTATTAGCAAGTCTCCAACAGATTTCCATTCCTTTTGACAATCCATCCAGGAGGTTTCTTGCATGGAATGCAGAACTGGATGGAATTCCAAGTCCCTCCATTCTCAGAGGGGGGTGTGTGTCAATGCTGCAGCCCCGAACAGTAGCAAAGCTACTTGTTTCTGGAGGATGTTCAAAGCTGCTTGAGGATCTGTCTATTGTGAGGACCCAACTCCATCTTCATCACAGTGAAGTTTTAGGCCTTGTGCACTAGGGCGAAGTACTGAGAGGAAAATAACCCTATTTATTCAGGGGTACTTTCCCATGAGGATATAGTTATTGCAGGAGTCTAGCACTGGTAGAGTCATGCCAGTTAACTTCCCTATATAAACACAGTCTGGAATGTTGTTTTTGTCCTCCTAATCCCTTGAGAGGACTGCAGGATCCAAACCCAGATTAGGAGGGTAAAACAATAAAGGATTGGATCCCATCCATGTTAAAACAGGGCTGGCAGCTATTCTGTTGGCTGAAACTGAAGCATTGATTAGTCACCCTGATAAGGTGGGATTTTCTTCCTCTCCATTGAACAGAGACAGAGGAGAAATGGGTGTCTCTGTAATCCAGAGATGGAATTTGACCTTCATAACCTCCTGTTTCTTTGGTGCTTGTTTTTGCTTTAGGCCCTGTATCTCATTGCCACTAATGGGACTCCAGAACTGCAGAACCCAGAGAAGCTTTCACCCATCTTCAGAGACTTCTTAAACCGTTGTCTTGAAATGGATGTGGAAAAGAGAGGTTCTGCCAAAGAGCTGCTGCAGGTAGGTGATGGGGAACAGGAATCACTGTAACCCTGCAACCACAGAATGGTTTGGGTTGGAAAGGACCTTAAGACCATCCAATTCCAACCCTGTGCCATGAGCAGGGACAACTGAGTGAGGCCAGGCTTACAGCAACATCTTGTTTGGGGTCTGAAATACTGCATCAGCAGAGCTAAGGAAACCTGCTAGAAAAAAGACCACCAAAAGCCAGCCTCAAACCTAGATCTCTAATGAAGTGTTAGCAAACTACTCCCTTTTTCTGCTGTTCTTGCTGCTAGTGGCAGCTGTGCAGTGTGTTCTGTAACCAACATGCAGTAATAGCTATGCCCTGGGCCTGCCAGATGCTGAGCCCCTTAAATCCTGTGGCTTCTTCACGCAGCTGGCCATGACATCTGTATGTGTTGCCATGATCTTGATGTGCTGTTCTGATTTGGACAGCAGGAGGGCTTCAAGCTATCAGATGCTCTGGTTGTCTCCCTCCTGGTGGAGGGATCGTGAAGCTCTTTGGATTATTCACAGCTTGCATTACGTGGGGCAGTTTGGTGATACCACATTTTCATAGAATCATAGAATAGTTAGGGTTGGAAAGGACCTTAAGATCATCAAGTTCCAACCCCCCTGCCATGGGCAGGGACACCTCACTCTAAACCGTATCACCCAAGGCCTCGTCCAACCTGGCCCTGAACACTGCCAGGGATGGAGCATTCACAGCCTCCCTGGGCAACCCATTCCAGTGCCTCACCACCCTAACAGGAAAGAATTTCCTCCTTATATCCAATCTAAACTTCCCCTGTTTAAGTTTTAACCCATTACCCCTTGTCCTATCACTACAGTCCCTAATGAAGAGTCGCTCCCCAGCATCCCTATAGGCCCCCTTCAGATACTGGAAGGCTGCTCTGAGGTCTCCACACAGACCAGACACTACTCCATAAAGAGGTGATGGAATGAAGTTTGTGATGTATCTTAACCACAGGATGGTTTGGGCTGGAAAGGACCTTAAAGCTCCTCCAGTTCCAACCCCTGCCACGGGCAGGGACCCCTTCCACTGGAGCAGCTTGCTCCAAGCCCCTGTGTCCAACCTGGCCTTGAGCACTGCCAGGGACGGGGCAGCCACAGCTTCTCTGGGCACCCTGTGCCATCATCCCATCATCAGTTTTCCACTGAAAACCTGGTGTCTTTAGTCTGACCTCCTGGTGAAAGAGGAGGGCCAGGCTGCCAGGCTTCTTGCTGACACGGGTGTGAGGAGTGGTTCATGTGTTCCTTCTGTCAAAATTTGCTCTGGGGGTGGAAAATGAAGCTCTCTGTAAAACGAATCTGTGATCAGGGGCACCCAGACCTCAGCTGTGAGACACTTCCCAGTTTTGTTTTCCTTCCCTTCAGCTACTTTGGTGCATCCAGTTCTGGGTGTGTTGCTGCTCTCTGATGCTGTACTGAAGCATTAATCATTGTCAGAATGGCAGTAGTTGAAAGATGGCTTTTCCTACTGGACTTTCCAGCCCCAAAATACCAGAGAGCTGTAATGTCCCGTTCCTTGGAGCAGAACACTTTGACCATAACATTTCAGCCTGGTTTGAACTACTTTGAGGTCTCTGATGTTATTTTTCCCCTCCATCTTTGAAGCATGTTGCCTGGGGTGGATGTTCCCTCTTGATGCTCAGAAGTCCTGTGGGATAGAGCTGCTTTTTGTTCTCAGAACAGCTGGTGGGCTTGCCCTGCCCTGCTTCACTCTCATCTGAGAGCTGTTGGGATGACCGATACTGTTTTACTTAACAGAGCACCTTGTGTAGGAGATTGAATGGTTCTGTGCTGCTCTCCGAAATCCCAGCTGCTTTGCACAGTGCAGGGATGGTAGCGACAGGACGAGGGTAATGGGTTCAGACTGAAACAGGGGAGATTTAGGATGGATACAAGGCAGAAGCTCTTCCCTGTGAGGGTGCTGAGGCGCTGGCACAGGGTGCCCAGAGAAGCTGTGGCTGCCCCATCCCTGGCAGTGCTCAAGGGCAGGTTGGACCCGGGCTTGAAGCAAGCTGCTCCAGTGGAAGGGGTCCCTGCCTGTGGCAGGGGTTGGAGCTGGATGAGCTTTAAGGTCCCTTCCAACATAAACCATTCTGGGGTTCTAATATCCATAAAAGACTAAGGCAATGCTTTTACCAGACCTGTGATAACAAGGAACAGAGGAACGAGAGGTGATTCCTGCAGGGAGCCCTGTGCCTTTGTTTGAAACCAGCAGGGTTTTTTTAGTACAACTTAGTTCTACACTGTATTTCACTATCGAATCTTAGAACCTGAATCATAGAATCAGCTAGGTTGGAAAAGACCTCTGAGATCATCAAGTCCAACATTTACCCCAGGACTACCAAGACCACCACTAAACCATATCACTGAGGAAGACAGACTTTATAATTCCCATGGGGAATTCACTGAGTTTTGGTTGGTTTTGAACATGAAGGTCTGTGGGACTTTGTGCAGGTTGTAGGATCAATTGAGTCCGTTTGCAGAGCCTAGAGATGACAAAATGTGTTGTTTCTTGAGGAAATCTACATACACAGTATGTGCAATTAAAAAGCACTACAGAAGCATTTATTAAAAAGAAATGTATGAAGTCAAAAAGTAGTTAATTAAATTACATCCCTGGTGGTGTTCAAGGCTGTTCAAGGTTGGACAGAGCCTTGGGTGCCATGGTTTAGTGTGAGGTATCCCTGCCTATGGCAGGGGGTTGGAACTGGATGATCTTAAGGTCCTTTCCAACCCTAACTCTTCTATGATTCTATGTACAAACACTGGAGAATTTAGCTTGTGTTGGGTGCAAACCTGTCCATCACGTCTGTGGTGGTATCAAGACCTTTTGGTTTCTCCTGTTCAGAGGTTAGAGTAAGCTGCTCAACTCACCTGGGTCTAAGTGCTAATACTTTGAATAGCCACAAGACTTCTGGGTCAGATTTAACCCTTTCTCTTTATTCTCTCTCCTAGCACCAGTTCCTGAAAATTGCCAAGCCTCTCTCTAGCCTCACTCCTCTGATTATTGCAGCTAAAGAGGCAGCCAAGAACAACCATTAAAGTGATGGAGTCAACACAAGTCGTTGTGTCAATGACTCTGAGATGCTCATTTCAGAGACTGAATTACTGCTCCGTCTCCCTTTCTGCTCCTTCTTCACAAGGGGCTTCTTAAAACTGATCTGCCCTGAAGGGTGCCAGTGCCATTGTCACTGAATGTGTAAGGGCACCCAACAGGGACATCTTAAAGAGTGAACTGCCTTCCCGTCCGTGTGATGGGAGAGGGGAAGAGTATTTTGTATGGTTGAGAAGATCTGAGAACGTCTGATCCTGACCTACATGTAGCGAAGCCAGTTTGCTTCCATAGTTCTTACTGGGTTCATTTGTAAGAATCATGTGGAGCCTTAGACCATGCTTATTGTAATAAAGGAAATCTTTTGCTGCCTGGACTTTGCCTGCTTCTGCCAAGCTGCTGTTACCCCACTGAGGCTGCTTTGGAGGACTGGAAAAGAGAAGGAATGAAGCAGCAGCGATGTGAAGAGTGCAGCAACCAAAGGGGGAATGAGGGTGTGAATACACATCCCTCCATCAGCACCGCTGGATCCTTAGAGGGAGGATGGAAAAGCCTCTGTGTGCTTCCTGCAGCCATTGGAGTAGCTAATTCATGGATAATCCTTTTGCCAAATTGTGTGGATTGGGGGTTCCCTCCCCTTTTAGTTTCAACTGAACAACATTTCTATGTCCTAGGAGGTAAATCACAGGAAGAATTGTCAGCCAGCTCTATTTTATCAGTGCTACGAGGCTTCTTAGAGGACCCTTGCCCTGTGTTCTGAAGCAAACAGAGCAATTACTGCGATAAAGATAAGCTTTGCCAGCAAAATGATGTGGAAAACTCTTGGTTCTTAGAGCAAGTCCAACGGAAACCAAACTGATCACGGATGCTGCTGTCTTGGAGACATTGATTTCTGGGGAAACGAGAGTGGTTTCTTTATGCTACTGATTCCTTCGGTGTCCAATAGTCTGCAAACCATGGAAGCCGGCCCTGTGAGAGGGGCTGGTTGGAAACACTGGGCTCATGTTCAGCTGTATACTGATTTTTTTTTTAATCTTAAATAAAATGACTGCTGAGTTTCTTAATGTGGGGCTGAGGGAGGTTTGGAGAGGTCACTGTCACCAGGCAAGTCTGTTGGATGCTGTTCGCATCATCACCAATGCATTGGATGAAGCAGTATAACCTTGCCTCTCACCCCTTCTCCTGTAGTCCTTTGGGAGAGCAAGTGGCTCTCAAGGGAGTAACTTTACACATAGAAATCTTCTGTATTATGTATCTGTGTGTAACTTTACGCATAGATAAAAGGATCTGTGTTATCACTTCGGGGAGGTGCTTTCTCTGTGCTGCATTGGTGAGTATAAACTGATCCTGGAGCAACCTCTCACCTCTCTCCAAAGCACTTGTGTGGCACAGAAACTCACTCCTGCTGCTTGCTGAGGCCTCTTCCTGGCTCAGCCCGTTCCTCCCTGTACCTGGGTTTAATTCAAGTGTATTTATCTATTTGCTCCCCAATGCACTCACACTTGTTCTGCTGGGTGTGGGTAGTTTGTGAGTTTGCTTCTGTGGTGTCTTCTCCCGTTCTTTGTGCTCCAGGGTGGTCACTGTCTAAAGGCCATTGCCAAAAGCTGCAGCATCCCTTTGTCCCTCTGTATTTCATCTCTCTCTAATACCAAAGAGTTCCCCTTGCACAGCTGGAATCCAAGGATAAATTCCTTGGGCCAGCCTGGGGTGGGATGTGATCTATTGATGAGCTCTGCTTGGAGCTCAGGTGGGGATTGTGGAATGGAAGGCCACTCTCCATGAATGATTCCCTGTGATAAGGACTTCCGTTGTGTTTTGCCTGGAAGACTCCAGACAGCACATGTGGGAAGGAAGGGATTAGGGGCTAGACCTCACTTGATCTAACACCTCATCTAGCTCTGCTCTTATGGATTTGCCAGTTGACTTTTTGGACAGCACAGGACCACAATGTGTTTAATGTCTCTGCCTTCCCTCTTAACTTCACTCCCCACTCCATCCCCTGCATTCCATTGAGATGAGAACCTTAATGCAGATGCACCCTACATCTGAGCACACACATGAACTTGTTTTTCCACAGCAAGATCTCTGCTAAGTTACTCCGAAGGAAGTAGAGCAGGTGATTTGTATGGGCTTACAGTGCCCTTGAGGGTTCTCTATTGCATAATGGAAAGGAATCGACACAACTGACTGTTCATTCCTCTTAGTCTAGTGATCAGAGCCCAGGTGTGATGGGGAAGGGCTGAGGGACCTGGGGGGTTCAGTCTGGAGAAGAGAAGGCTCAGGGGGGACCTGATGGCTCCCTACAAGTGCCTGACAGGAGGATGGAGCCAGGAGGGGCTGGGCTCTGCTCCCAAGGAACAAGGGATGGGACAAGAGGAACCGGCCTCAAGCTGCACCAGGGCAGGGTTAGATGGAGCTGAGGACCAATTCCTGCCCCAGAGGGTGCTCAGGCATTGGAACAGGCTGCCCAGGGCAGGGCTGCAGTCACCGGCCCTGCAAGTGGAGATGAGGCCTCAGTGCCATGGGGCAGTGGTGGCCTTGGCAGTGCTGGGAATGGTTGGACTGGACGAGTTTAAAGGGCTTTTCCAACCCAGTTGATCCTATGATGTGCTTCTGTGTCATTGATTTCCACTTTGGATCGGTCCTGCCTGGTTTCTGTTGAGAGGGCTTTTGCCAAAAGCCTTTTGTCCTCCACTGGAAAGCTGCAGGGCTGTGACCATAGATGTGGGTCATCTTGTCCTAGGCTTTTGTGTTCCCCAGGAAAAGAAGGTGACTCCTGCAGTGTGCCTGGACCTCGTTTCAGGTGAGCAGACACGTGACAGATTTATGTTCCCGGAAAAACTGAACAAATTCTGTAACTGCCCTAATTTAGGATTTTGGGATTACTTTGTTGTTCTGAAGGACTTTTCCTCCACTCTCCCTTCATCTGCATTGTCCAGCATCAGCATCCGTGTTACCTTTCACATAGCCATTTACAGCAGCTTCCTATCATAGAATTCCAGGCTGGCTTGGGTTGGAGAGGGGCTCTTCATCAGGGACTGCAGTGATAGGACAAGGGGTGATGGGTTCACACTGAAACAGGGGAAGTTCAGGTTGGAGATAAGGAAGAAGTTCTTTACCGTGACAGTGCCCAGAGAAGCTGTGGCTGCCCCATCCCTGGCAGTGTTCAAGGCCAGGTTGGACACAGGGGCTTGGAGCAAGCTGCTCCAGTGGAAGGGGTCCCTGCCCGTGGCAGGGGTTGGAGCTGGAGGAGTTTTATGGTCCCTTCCAACCCAAACCAGTCTGGGATTCTGTGACTTGGAGTTCACCATGGCCAAGAGTTTGTGTGTGAGAGGGGTATTCGGATTCCATGCGTCCTGATGAGGACAGGTTGTGGTGCTGGGAGCAAAGAGCCGGGGCAGGGATGCAGGAGCCAGCAGAACGTGCTGGTTTAGTTGCAGCAGCGATAACACAGCTTTAGCATCCCTAAAACCTCTTAATAGAATGGATGTGTTTTTAAGGGACATAAACCTGCCTGAGGAGTCGCTGCAGGCTTTATGCTCCTACCCAACTGCATCCCCCTTCGAAACAAAAGGGGAGCACAGTTTCCTCCAACAAGGAGGTTTCCATGGAGACACTTGACTTAAAACCGCTCTGCTTTGGGCTTGAGAAGAGGCTTTGGGGAGGCAGAAACCCCACATGGCCACAAAGCCTCTGTTTCACCAAGCAGCTGGGGTCGGGGCAGTGATTTGTGTGACCCAATGGCCCTGTTCATGGGTCTGGTTTGAAAGCCTGCCAGAACTTGCCTGCTCAGAAACAGGAGGTGTGTAAAGGGCTCTCGCTTCTCAGCTGAGATCTCTGTTAGCATCCGAAGCCATCTGTCCCTGTGAGCGCTGCAGGTTGGTGTAAGTAGGGCACGTTTGCAGCAAGAATAGATTGCAGTGGTCTATAAGGAGGAGTTTGCTTCCTGAAAGCCACTGGTCCTTGGCTGGCAGTACAATTGGTCTGGACTAAAATTGCTTTGAAGCTGGCACAATCCATCTGTACAGTGGATGGGAGCATCCTCAGTGTTAAACCACTTCAAGGTGAAGCCTGATTCTCCATCTTCCCACCATAAACCAACATATACATGTTCTTTTATAATGGCTTCCCATATGAGCAGTAACAGAGAGCATGTGGATGTATTTTGGGGTTGTTAGCCCAACTGGATCAAGCATGTGTTGTATTCCAAGGAAGCTGTGAATGCTCCATCCCTGGCAGTGTTCAAAGCCAGGCTGGACAGAGCCTTGGGTGCCATGGTTTAGTGTGAGGTGTCCCTGCCCATGGCAGGGGGTTGGAACTGGATGATCTTAAGGTCCTTTCCAACCCAAACCATTCTGTGATTACGGATACTGAATGCTGTAGATCTCACCATTTGTTGCCAATGACAGCTCACAATGTCAAAGATGGGATCTGTGAGAAGCAGATGCCAACACTGACAGTGAACAGCCAACAGAAATGAACTGCAGCAGAGACGGGAGCTGGGCAGGAACGTGCTGCCAAGGTGGATGCTGCAGAGAAGTGGAAGCAACAGAAGAAGATGGAGCTGTTCCTGCAGGGAAGAACTACAGGAGAAGATGGAGTTGGTCCAAGGTGTGCTGGGGTGGGATGAAGCAAAGGTTAAAGCTTTGATTACAGGGTTGCTGAGGGTACCCAGGGCATCATTCTCAATGCATCATTCTCAATGCAGCAATGTCCATGGGAGGAGGAGGAAAGAGCGAGCCGAGGAAAGGAAAAGGTGCTGGAAGTGGAGACTGGAGCAGCTTTGAGTCACAGCCTATGGGGAGAGCTGGAGCTGATCCAGGAGGCTCACTGACAAGGGAAGGTGGGAGCTGGAATGGAGGAGGTGGCCCTGATGTGCCAAGGAGCTGAAGAGAGAGGCCACGTTTCATGGGTACCTGAGGTGGAGGAAGCCAATTGAACACAGGTGGGTGGTGAGCAGCTCCTTCCCTCTTGCCTTGCATCATCTGCCCTGTGTCTTTCCGTGCCCAGAGCTGCTTTGGGACCGTGTCAGCAGAGCCATGGCAAAGGAGATGAACACCTACAGTGCTCCCGGTCAAGATGCCCTGGCTCCAAAACGCATCCAAGCCCTGGGTTTTATTCCCAATGTAACCTTATTGTCTTCCATCTGCACAGGAGGAAACCCTTGTGTGGTGATCCCAAAGGGATGCCCTGGGGCTACGGGTGCAATTCCTGCTTTTTCTGTGGTACCCACCCCAGATCTGTAAAGTTCTGCTCTTTCATCCCTGAATGTGGTGCCTTGTCCCCTTAGCTCCTGGTCTGCAGGAGAGGGGATGCCTTGTGTTAGAGCCGCTGATGTATAGTACAGAGGGGCAGGAGGGCTGGGAAGACAGGGGCAAGGTGTGGGGAACACAGAGCTGCAAGTCTGAGCCAGACCTGGCAGCTAAATCCCGGTGGGAACAGGACTGGTCTGTGTGTAACTGCAGGGTGTCCATTTATTTGGGAGGATGGGGGAGTTAACGGTAACAGAAGCAATTGCTGGTCAGTGCAGTGGGTCATAGAATCCAGCCTGGTTTGGGTTGGAAGGGACCTTAAAGCTCCTCCAGCTCCAACCCCTGCCATGGGCAGGGACCCCTTCCACTAGAGCAGCTTGCTCCAAGCCCCTGTGTCCAACCTGGCCTTGAACACTGCCAGGGATGGGGCAGCCACAGCTTCTCTGGGCACCCTGTGCCAGCGCCTCAGCACCCTCACAGGGAAGAGCTTCTGCCTAAGAGCTCAGCTCAGTGGAAGGGACCTTAAAGCTCCTCCAGTTCCAACCCCTGCCACGGGCAGGGACCCCTTCCACTGGAGCAGCTTGCTCCAAGCCCCTGTGTCCAACCTGGCCTTGAGCACTGCCAGGGATGGGGCAGCCACAGCTTCTCTGGGCACCCTGTGCCAGCGCCTCAGCACCCTCACAGGGAAGAGCTTCTGCCTAAGAGCTCAGCTCAGTCTCCCCTCTGGCAGGTTCAAGCCATTCCCCTTGGCCTGTCCCTACAGGCCCTTGTCCCAAGCCCCTCTCCAGCTTTCCTGCAGCCCCTTTAGGCAC